AGAGAGACAACGTGGCTCTAGACTCGAACTCAGTAAACTAAATAAATTAAAGTCATGCATTGTTATATAAGTTGTTTTATTGGCACTCCTCGATACCTCGGAAAGTAAATACATAACAGTGGCGACGAGAATAAAAAAATTACGGACGCGGCAAGTGCCAAAAAATTAAAATTTAAAATCCGGGTGACGCAAAAAAAAGGACTACGTGCAAGTGACTTGATTGAAAATGGCGACGTCCTCCAAATTCTTCGAATTTGATCAGGAATGTGATGACTGGCAAATCTACGAGGAAAGGCTGGAGCAGCATTTCAAAGCCAACTCCACCACAGACGAGACAGTTAAAAAGGGAATACTGCTGAGTTCTTTGGGGGCCAACACCTATAAATTGCTGAGGGACCTGTGCTTCCCAAACAAGCCCAAGGACAAATCGCTAGTAGAGCTCTGCAACCTTTTGGCAACGCAATTCAAGAGCCAAACGAGCGTTTGGCGTGAACGAATTAAATTTTATAGCCTTCATCAAACACAGAACGAATTAATTAATGAATGGTACGCTCGTGTAAAAAGTGGCGCTGTATCTTGCAATTTCGGCGCTGACCTAACAAATTGCCTCAGAGATCGCTTCTTGTGTGGACTATCCAGTGGAAAAATCCTCGATCGACTCTGTGAAGAAAAAGAAACCCAAAAAGTCGACGACCTGGTGCAATTGGCGATGAAAGTGGAGAATGTGGTAAAATGTGGCACCATAAATGCAATTTCAAAATTCCCGCCAAAGCAGACCCAACCGCGTGGAGAAAGCGGAAGTAGTTTCCATTTTGAAAACCGACGACCCACCCCAATGAACTATAACCAAAAACTGGAATGCTAACACATAAGGAAGAACGTGAAGCCTAGTGCAGCTGCTGCGGAGGGGATACCTGTTTTTGTCGCACTCATTATGTTAAATGGCAAAAATTGCTTCCAACACGTATTCCAATTGATGAAACCTGTGAAGGGAAATATGACAAAACTTTCGAAAACGTCATATGTTAGCGAGCAACAGAAAAAAACAACATTCCCCGTTGTGGCATCTGTCTTTCATGGCTTCATTTTTTTGGCAGATATGGCACTGTGTGCGCATTCCAGTTTTTAACTCTAGTTCATTGACCCACCCAACATATGGTAATAATAAATTTGGCAACTATGGACATCAAAGCAGAAACCAGTCACATGGGCGACCGGAGCAAAGTTATCGAACGTACAGTGACTTTATTACCACAGTGGCGACAATTGCGGTCTCATTTTTGATTGGTTCAAAAATCCCATATGTTTATATTGAAAATGCCGCCATCTTGTTCCCAACCTCTTGTTACTTTTAAATATGAATATATAGGATTTAGGTGAACATCCATCATAAATCATGGGAAACAACGTATTTGATGGACCTGATAATGGTCATCAAATACGTCGATTTCAATTTTTTATGATAGATGTCCATTTAAATCCTATATATTAATATTTAAAAGTAACAAGAGGTTGGGAACAAGATGGCGGCGTGACCTCTATTGTCGCCACTGTATGTAAAGGTTTATTTAGCCACTGTAACTACTATGAAACTTTGGCGCCCTCTGGAGGCTAAATTATCAACCGCACGAGGTTCGGTCAATGATTACTTTTAATAAGAGTTCAAAAAACTACAACATATCCAAATTTTAGAAAAATCTGTCGGAGATCCATGTTCCATAAGAGAAAGTGCCTCGTCCTTTTATTGGACTCGATTCTCAAGATTGCGGAAATGGAAAAAGTATGGATAAACTGAGGGATGATCCCAAGAAGATGCTGAGAGTACTGTAATATTGAAGTGTCTCAAAAAAATCAAAAACTCGTGATTCCTCTGGGACATTCCTTAGTTCATCCATACTTTTTCCATTATACCGCAATCTTTGGGAATCCAGTCACATAGCTGATTTTATGTATAATTTCACACTAACATTGGTCCTAAATAACATCCATGATCATTTTGTATTAGAAGTTGATATTCATTTTTGAAAAATATCATCATAGTTGATTGCATTTATTTTAACAATACAACAGTCGTAGAAAATAATAAAGTATTTTTGCTCCACATTATTCATGCAAACTTTGTATTATATTGCTTAATCGTGATCGAATGTCAAATTTTGGAACCTCAGTATTATTGTAACTTACATAAGTTGTGATTTTTTTTTTTGTATGTAATAGTACGTATATCTATGTGTATTTTATCTGTTAAATTTTTTTATTGAGTACCTACACTTTAAATTAACTGTGATAGACATATACTTTAGATTAACTGTGATATACATATACACTTTTAGCTCTAATTATTTAAGCTGTGATAATGTTCTGATCATTTCAGAATCTCAGGAAGGAGAGGGATGAATTATGTCAATCACATCACTTTTTTTATAGCATACATATGCATTTTTTGAAAGTGAGACCACAGATGGTTCATTAAGCCTTTTAAGTCAATTCTGTTCTGATGATTGAACAGTGTCACAATCAACAATTTAGAATACTAAAACTTCTAGATAAGTGCCTTTTAAGTGTAGGGGTGTTGTGTACGGGGCTTAATAATAAGCATCGATATGTGCGCATGTACATGACATGCGGAGACCGTAGGCCGAAGAGCAGCTTGGCTGAGGCAGAGAGTCGAGAACGAACGAAGCTACTACACGCAACGAGAGAGACAACGTGGCTCTAGACTCGAACTCAGTAAACTAAATAAATTAAAGTCATGCATTGTTATATAAGTTGTTTTATTGGCACTCCTCGATACCTCGGAAAGTAAATACATAACACTCAGAAGACCATTAGGACATGAAATCTCAACAAAAAAAAAATGGAAATTTCATAATTTTAGTAGGTGCTGAGATTTTGGAAAACTTTGAAAAGTCATAACTTTTTTTCTAATATAGATAGAAAGCTGAAATTTGCAGCGATTCTTATTTGGACTTATAGTTCCAGAAATAAGATCGCGTTAAGCAATTTTAAGATTCATGTTTTCATTTTTATGATCTACAACATTGTTATACAATTCTCCGTTTTGAGCTTCTTCTTCTTTAAGTTCTGAACCGTTTGTATAGACTCGGGTTTAGTTATTAGGTCAGTTATTGGGAAAACAAATTTATTTTTCTGGGGTGATATATTATTTCCAGCGATTACCAATTACCACCTAATTCTCAATGATTGTCAATGGATTCCTTTATGATTCCCATGGAGTTCTAAAATATTCTTATAGCGATTTCTGATTTGATTCCCAAAAAAAATGTGCAATGATTCCTTTCCATTCACATCTTCACGTGTCTTATGGTAATGTAAGTTTTTACTACTCAGACTTCTGGTCAAAACATTCTTCACATAAAAGAATCAACTGATTTTTCCTGATCTTCCGAATTTTCATTCATTCATTGTTGAACAGATCTACAGATCTCTATTTCTACCTGAAACTAATCTTTCATTTATTCTTTCAAGTATTTCAATATTTATATACATAGTTGTAAGGCTTTCATCTACTTTCCTTTACTCCTTTATCAGATTTCATAATCCCAGCTCAATTACCTTGACATTTTAATTCGTATTCTCTTTTCTCATTGGCTTTTTTAATGTTTTTATTTCTTTTCTTTATTCATTTGCTATTTTTTATAGTGCTATTTTACTCATTATTGTTTGTTTTCTTCTCCCTCTTTTTTCATTTGTATCATGTACTACCTATTTATTTTTTTTTCTATTTTCTTTTTTCCAGGTTTTTGAATTGTCTTTATTAAGAGAAATTCAGAAGAAAATATAAATTTAAGAGCCAGAAAAAAAAATGAGAAATGGACTTTTAGAGCGTCTTAAAATATATTTCAAAATTCTAAAATGCTTTTGGAAATCGTTTCTAAATGTTTTGGGACATTCTAAAATGGTTCCAAAATTAGAATTACAATTAATCGTCTCAATTCAACCATTAGGAAAGTAGTTCCATATTCAAATTACAAAAAAAGTATTCCAAAAAAGGGTTAAACAAAACTTATAAAAAATTCAGCACCAAACATCCGTGACTTGTATACAATTTTCGCATCCAAAATGCAATTTCCTATATATCGCCTACATCGAAATTTGCGTCATTCAACTCCTGGGTGCCTCGGTATGTTCTATTTCAAAATACAGAATACGAGGCTCGTGCTTGTAATACCGAAATAACTATACTGGCGACTCATATTTCAAAAACCCAAAGCATATCTTGTGTTGTAGGTATAACAAGAGATGATTTCTTGGTATTTGGTATTTAAATCAAATGTCATTATAAGTACCTATATGAACTTATGATGATTTTCAATTAAATTGGAGCTCATAACTATGCACCGTTTAAAATTGGAAAAGAGGAATTTAATTTCTTCAAACAAACTCTGGAAAATTGGTTTTGATAAATCGTTTTCATATAAATGATTATTATAAAGTTGCAACATAAAATTTAATTAAAATACTTAATCCCTGTATTTTTCATTTTAGTAAGTAAAATTATACCACAAAGAAACCAAATGAGGCAATTGAATTTTCTTATGGTGTTATTCGATATCTCTCGACGAATCTTTACAGAAAATTGAATTTGCATGTAATTAATTCACGAAACCCAAACTAATTTCGTCCTCAATATACAATTTCCATGTCTACGACAATCGGAAGGCAGCTGGGGTTTCGAGATTAAAAATAGAGCAAAAATGTAGTTTGTTTTGACAAAAAAATATAAATCTCTCTGGTTTATGTGAAAAGCGAAAACAATTTATTTTTAGATTTTTTGGCAAAAGCCTCATAAGTATAGAGTAGAACAGCTATTAACAAGCTCAGGATAGTATTAGTAAGTACTGGTAGTTAAAAAAACAAAGTAATTTTTACATCCAAAAGCTATTCAAATATGAATAAGTAGGTAGGTACCTACTTATTACTTAAATAGTTCTTAGATATGAAAAAAAAAGACAACATAAAAGCGAACAAATTCTTACCGAAGTCGTATATGAAGAGTAAGCCGGCGAAGCACGGTAAGGCCGTCTGGTCGTGTAAAAATCGGATTCGTACACCATTTTCGTAACGGAGAGGAAGGGCAAAAAGTTAAAGAAAAAAAGCGACTTTCAACTAAAAGAGAAATTCGACGTCGAGAGATGTTAAAACTGGACTGAAACGCTGGCTTGGCTCCCGGGATTTTAACGTCAAACTTATTACAGTTTTTCGGGTTCTATTTTTAAAATGCACGATTTTTCGCCCCAATGCGCCGATTAGCTTACGCTTTTCATTTAGTAAGAGATTATTTTTGGATTTTGATGCGGGTTTCATTCATTTTTGTTATTTTTCTTGGAAACGACTGGGCAAAACAAATACACCTACATTCTATAGACAAATTTCTGACATCATAAACCTCACAACAATATTTTGTAGCCCTTATCCATGATTAATACTGGGTTCGTGATCCAATATGCCATTATTTGTGCGACTTCAAATAGATATTTTTCTGCTTTGGTGTGAGATGGATTGATTTGAAAGGGGAGTCTTCATAGGCAGTACGTAGACGCGCATGTGGTGCATTGTGCTACTCCCCTCTTTGTGCAGCCCTGTCTTACCTTAGGAGCATCTTAGGAGGCCTGTAACTGTCAAGAAAGGTGCCCCTCAAAACAGGGGAGCAGCATTACTCATGAGAACGAAGATCCTAGGCGATTTCGGCAAGCTTTGGTACATGGTTTGGTAGGTACCCTGTTTGGTATGACAAATGCATACCAACCAATTTAGGATACGAAAATGATGTCGTCACCGTGACTTTGGTATCCTTTTTGGTCTGTCAAATAGGATACCGTGGTCAGCAGCACGGTTCTTCTCATTTGATATAGTGCTATCTACGACTATTTTCGTTTTGTCCAGTTCTTGGAAATGTAAATAAATGGAAGTTCGTTTGAATTTGAATAATTTGAAATTTTTAACAAATATGTTTGTTTTTTCGCCTTCATCTTCCTATTTTCTCGTATATTTTGACTGCCAAATAATGTTCAACGATCATTTGAAAAATGGCTTTGAACGACAGATATGGGGTAACTTTTTTGCTGAATGGATTATGGAATAAGCTTTACATTTACAGAAAACGCTGAGTTAGCCAGTTAGCCAATAGGTTATTCAAAGGTACTGTCTAGACAGTGCTGATTGGTGATTATAGATAGTCAGTAGTCAGTGCAGTCAGTACCTAGTCACTCATATAAGTCCCAAAACTAGAAGAACAACAGAAAGTTAGGTAAGGCTCGTCTCTCCCCCCCTCTCATGACCTACCAAACGAATTCGGAACAGAATGGCGTCTTATGTCATTTCTATGACGTTGCAGGCACAGATTATCTTTTAGTGTTAACTATATATAATCTAAGGGACAAAACCAACCAACACAAATCACTGTCCACACCACAGATACCTGTAAATTTCTCTTATCTCCCGACAGTGTCGCCATCGTTGACTAAAAACCTAACTAAAAACCTTCGTCGCGATTCTCCCATTTGAGATATTTTTCTATAGGTGATATGTTCTGTGGACAAGATGACATTTGCATGATGTTAAATGGACACCTGCATTTTCATGACTGGTTTTTATATACACGATTCTATGTCGGTCATTGTCATTTTCTATTCACTAAACAAAGATAGCTAACTCATTGGTGATGTTACCGATTAGAATAAAAACGAGGGGGACGTTGAGAAACGGTGATATGGGCGCACAGCGGTGTAGTCACGAACTAAAACAAAAAGTGGAAGGGATGAATCCAGTGAATGTTCTATTTAAGAATTTATAAATCACTTTTCTATGGGCCCGAGGGTTCGTAAGTCGCCCGAGGGTATATATATCTATTAGTACCCGTGGTGCATACAAACTTTTATGTCATACCAATTGGTTGTGAATAATAAATACCTGGGAAAAAAGTGTCACTTCGCAAATTGTCATCAGTGTGCAAACATCATCATTTTTTGACAAAAATAATATGTTTATAAGCGTAAATTTATATTTTGTTAATAAAGAATAAGTTAATTGAAAACCGATTTTTGCGTCTTTATGCCCGCGCGGGCCATAATGTGTACTTTATGCCCGCACGGGCATAAAGTAATGAATTATGTAGATGGTATCTAAGGTATAAAAACACAATAATGTATTGGTATGACATAAAGCAATTTATGTCTATCAAGGAAGCTCACCATCCACTTCTGGGTGTCCAAGTGAAATGTAGGTAGAGCAATCTTGCCCAAACAATAGGGATTCAGTAATTGGGTAGAAACGGCCAAAAATTGAGACGCACACAATAGAAAATGAGTATTTGATTATGATCATTAATGACATAACCTAATGACGTTATGGTTTGTGTTTGTGTCAAATGTTTGTGTGCCTCTTGTCGGCCATATTTGTGTCACGTGTTTTGGATACTCTAATACCAACCAAAGCTTGCCGAAATCGCCTCCTGTCTTCATCGTCCGTATTCATATTTCCATAACACTGACAATGACATGAGGATCAGTGGCGTAACTTCAAATCCGGGGCCTGTTCAATTTTTACGTGTACGATTTTTAAACTTTATTTCAAATGGTGGGTGCTGAAGAGGAGCCATGGAAAAACATGATTGTCTGGCACATTTCGAATAGAATTCCAAAGTCCTTAACTTTCCGGTGTGATAATTCATATAAAGTCACGTCCACAGGTGCAGGTAAATTTATCACCTTTCCCTATCAAATAGCATTGAAAGGTGATTTTCCCTGTACCTACCTGTGGACATCGGATTGTGAACGGATAATACATAATGAATATTTCAAAATCTATTAACTTTAGAAAAAAGTGTTCATACAAAAGAAAATATTCAAGATTCTTTCTTCTCTTTAAAATGGTGTCATTGGGTGGCATAAATAAAAACGAAGTACTTGCTACTACTACAAGTATTAGTATGTTCTACGTAGTATTTACTTCAAAACGAAGTAGATACTACATTTAGTACATTTCGAAACTACCGGAAATTAGGTAAATGCTTCTTTCTGGAGTAAATACTGCGAAGCATATACCTATACTAATACTTGTAGTAGCGTACCTACTTCGTTTTTATTCATACCACCCATTGTTATCTTCACACGGCTCGAAACAAACTTATAAATAAGCTAATTGCATGACCAAAAAATGAAATACCTATATACAGGTTTGACAAGTCAACAACAGGCCAATTTTAATGCAATAGAATGAAATGTCTAGAAAAACTCTAAGGTTGAATACAGAACGAAAGATAACGATTTCCCCTGTTCCACCTCCAGCATTTCCAGCGCTTTTTAGCCACCTTGTTGTTGTCTCTCTCTGCTTCGCGATGGGAAGTAGACCACATCTCGCTCTAAAATCTAATACTTTTTTCCCTTGTATAATGAATAACTATTATTGATGGGATGTTCCATCTTTTGGTGTTAAAGTTGCTCAATATATTGGAATATAGAATATCATCCATAACTCTTTGGAATGTCGCCGGCGCGTTCTTCAAACCAAAGGGCATGCGCAAGAACTAATAATGCCCGTTTTCTGTGCTGAATGCGGTTTTTTCGATGTCGTTGTCTAGATCTGGTGGAAGCCGCTAGCTAAATCTAAGGCAGTGAAATACTGCCAGCGTCCCAGCTTCTTCAAGAGATCCGCTATGTTGGGTAATGGGTATCTGTCAAACTGTTTGTCAAAGTGGTTATAGCAAAAACAACAAAAACATAAAACACACAAGTTTGATATAAAAATACCTAAATAGTTAGGAATGTTAGGATCAGGAACTCAATATTTTTATACCTATTCACTACACCCACAACATACAATGCCAAAATCACTATGGGGGCTCCGCCCCCATAGCAAATTCACAACGGGGGCTCAAGCCCCATTGCCCCATGGTTCCGGCGCCTATATGTGTTTAAACATTTCTCTCTGAGATCTCTTACATTGGTTAGACATACTTTTTCAATGGTTTTTATGTATTATGTGGTTCAAAGGTTAAGTTTAAGTATTTTCTTTTAGTTTAGTTAAGTTTAGTAATATTCTTGTCGCCTGGTCTGGAGCCCTGCGGGGCCCCTAAGTCACGGGCCCCCCCCCCGCAACTGCGGGCCCCTAGTTACGCCACTGATGAGGATAGTGTTGGTGTCGTCTGGAAGTCCGTGACCTACCACAACCACCTTGACAACCCTGGGAGTGTATCGCATCACACGCAGCGATGCCCCCTCCCAAGGCCTTATCCAGGATATGACCTCTTGTAACCAACCATAATGGTTTCCTGCGGATTCCAGCGAAACTTTTCGAATCGAGGGAAGTGCGGTCTCCTCCCATCTGATCTATGACGGTGTTTAATGCCGCCATGATATTTTTGCTTTGTGCCTCATCGGAGTCATCGGCCATATGTTAAAGGTTCCGAAAGGTAATGTTGAAATTATTGATTTCTCAAGCAACACGCCACTCCAAGGAAGATTCAAGGAACGACTATATAAATTTGGCCCTAAAGTAAACAAGAAGCTTGAGTGTAGTTTATAAAAAAAAGGATGTTTTTGCCTGTGAAAATGTAAAAGTTAAGGGTGACGCACTCGCATATTATATACGAAACTCGCCTACGGCTCTTTTCGTAAAAACTTCAAAGCGGTTCTTCTATAAACGTTTTTTGGTTTGTTTTTTCTTGAATGGATATTAGCTTAGTTTTCTTCTCGGTACTTTGTCCCAACTTATTTCATTATTTCTTGACCTTTTCAAGTCTCATAAAATATCGTTTATCTACGAGCGTAAAAAAAGTGCACTCTTTACCGCACGTACTTGCAAGTGGAAAATAGCATTTCACGGCATAGTATGTCAGATATACACCTACAAGAATTGCTTATCAGTTATCGGCCTCGTTTATGGTCAAGGATGATACACAGTATACTACTACAGGATGGCTTATCCTCATAAAGCCTGTGTATAACAAATTCCCCCCTTATACCTCACCCCGCCAAAATACCAATTGTCACGTAGGCAGGATGTTATTTCTCACCTTGATGTAGGCTGTTTAACATAAAAATGACAGTTCAAAATA